ATGAGCAGCAATTATTTTTAGGACAACGGGGCAGAGAGGTGAGTTGGGAAGGGCTATGCATATTTGGTTTTGTGTGGCGGGTGGATGGCAGCCAGGGGGTGTCAGAGATGGGGACGGGGCAACGAGGATCCAGACAAAGGCAGTGTAGACGCAGAGGGAAAAGATGAATTCAAGAGACCACAGTCAGGCTCTCTGCAAGGCACCATGTGAGCTTAGGCACTATGTTAATTGACTAAAAATGGATTTTCACAAACATTCTTCCCAAAGATTACTTGCAAAAATGTGACAAATACCAAACTCTCAACAATTTATACATGTAGCAACATATATACAAGCTGCGAAACACCATCCCCGTCACCTCCAACAAACGTCCCGCAGCAGTCAGAAGTATCAGCAGCTCTACCGCCCGTACTTACGCAGATGACGCACGGAGAAACACGGTTAACCCAGGCATCCTGTATCTGTCCCGTGTTTACACCTATTTAAACACTGGTTTAGATAAACATCCGCATATTTTTTCATTGAAAGATGTCCTGGAATTTACTTTCATAAGTAACCGGACTTAGCCCACAGCAATTTTGGTCTACGCATTTCGCATCAATAACTGTGACTCTAAAATGACCCTGGAAGGTAACGAGCAAGACTAATCAGAGCAGAAGCGGCCACCGTGTCACCGCCGCCACCGCACGTACCTGAGAAGAGCGGGAGCGTGAGCTCGGGGTACATCCTGGCCAGGTCGCACGACAGGAGGGCTAGCGACACGCTGTACAGGGGTGGCAACGGGCCGTGGGTTCCGTAGAGGATGCTGCCAGGCCTTTGTTCGGCTACTTTCTTCGAGTAAACGAAAAGCTTCGCTTCAAGGATCTGTAAGGAGGCAGGAGAGTGGGAAACGGCGTGAGAAACGCACGGCTGTCTCAGGAGCGTCTGTATTTAATAACGTTTCAGAGTAACTACTAGCGAGCGCACACTTAAATGCAGCAGCGTTCAAGGGGGAACAGCGGTTAATTCCTACGTTCGCGGCGATTTGCAGAAACAAACGCCATCAGCACACAGCGAGGCAGGATCAACCCCCATCTCTATTTCCTGTGCCCGAGGGTGGAGGTCTCTACGCCAGCAAGGGGCACGTGCCTGCATGAGCTGCATGGAGAGTTCATAGGTCTCTCTGTTGGTGTCGGAGGCCTTGAAGAGGACGAGGTTTAGCAGTGTCACGATGTCGAAGGGATAGTTCCTAAAACAACAACAACAGAGTTTATAAGACCACCTGGCTAGTAGTCCTGATAACTACCTCCCAAAATTCTAGATGGCACATTGACTCAGCTACACTCATTAACGACATCCCCAGCCTCCTTTGGCTTTTTTTTTTTTTTTTTACCTTATTCTTTTGCTTTTTATCAGTAAAAAAAAAAGAAAAAGCAGCTTTATTTTTGTTTAAAAGTGAATATTGTCACACCCGGAGAAAGGAACATACAAAAAATCTATTGCATATCGACTTTAATGAAAACCAAGTACGAAAAAGGACAGCATTTAGTCAACATGCCTAAATTTCCCACTAGCTCACTGACTTAATATTTTCGTTCGCTCCATCTACATTTACTAAGTACCAAATGCGTGCCAGGGACACCTGCAAAGTTCTCATTACTCTGAGTGAGTGTGGCTGGTCCTTCCAAGGGTGACTGCAGTGCAGTCAGTGGGACAAAAACCCACAGCCTAGTTGTGGCGGGAGCTGAGGTGGCAGTATCCACAGCATGTTGCAGGCCCCCATGAGGGACCCCAATTCACAGGTAGGGTAGGAAAGGTTTTCCAAGGGACAGACACGTAAACTGAGCCTCGAGCCCCAGGAGACATCGGCATGGCTGTGGAAGGGGGAGGATGGGGAGCATTCTGGGCAGAGAGAAGAACATTTTAAACAATTATGAAACGGCAGGATGGATGCCTTCTAGGAAAGGAGAGACTCTCTGAGTGAGAGAGGCACAGGAGGAGCTGGGGCGAGGGCGGTGGGTGTGCTCAGGGGACCAGGCTGTGGCCTTCGCCTTGGCGTCGTAAAGATCCCCCAGGATTTGTGGTGGGGTGTGGGCAAATGACACAGGCTTCAGAGATTCAGCCTGGCTGCTGTGTGGAGAATGGACTGTAGGAGGTCGACACTGGAAGCTGTGACAATGACTGAGGTGGGAACAGGTGAGGGCATGAATTAGGGCAGGGACAGTAGGAACACAGAGAGGGGACAGATCTGAAAAACAAGGACAGAGTCGGCAGGCTTTGGTTACTGCGTGTGTGGGAGCTAGGGGGGAATAGGGACGTGGAGAATGAATTATGTGGCAATCCGGGTATCATCAGGGAAGACAGACGCAAATCCATTTTTTCCTTGCTATGTGACACTCTTTAAAGACGACATCTTTTTCCTGTACGCATTTTCTATAGTGGAAAAGAGGTCATAAACAGGAAACCTGGTGAGGTAAACCATTAGTGAACGGCCTACGGGGAGAAGGTGGCTGATTTACTTCGAGGCGAGCTTCGGAAAGCAGAGGCGGCTTGGAGGTGACAGCCGCGTCGTTGTGCCTCCTTTGCGGGCCGTAGGCAGCTCCGCCAGGAAGCCGCTGCAGAATGCCCGCCCTCGGCTCGCAGACAGCGCGCAGCCAGCCTCCGTCAGGCTCAGGTAAAGGGACTTTGCTTTCATTTTCGATATTACTCACATTCAATTCGTTATGATGCTAGTGATTCACGAATACATTTTGCTTTTAAAAGAAACACGCGAGGCCGGAAGAATCATCTGAAGACAGTTCACGCGCACGGCCGGCCTGGAGGTAGGTGTACAGACCGACACGTGGATGTGCCCCCCACCCTCTCTTCCTGCCCCCCAACTGCTGTTTCCCACCCAAGAGGCAGCCACTGTCAGCATTCTGCTGTGTGTTCCGGCCCCGGGTGTATGCACAGATAGATGTGTGCCTCTAAGCAACTTTCTCCCAATACGCAGGATTTTAAACAGAAATGTGATCATGTGACCCGCCTGCAACGTTTGGTGACTGGAGTTTTCACTGAACAGTGAGGCTCACGCCCCTTCCAGGCCCCAGGTTCCCGACTCTCTAACTGCAACGCTGAGGCCGGCAGTGCTGGCTGGTCCCTGCTCTGCGGACTGCCTTCAGCCAAGGTCACACCTACGTCCCCGCAGCAGCCCCCGCGGGTGGAGTGTTTGTCCCTCCACTCTGTCCGACTTCTTTCATGTCCCTGTAGATGCTGACCCCGTGGGCATTCACTGACACATTCCC